TTTTACATCAGAATTTCTATTGACTTTAATCTCAGAATCCCAACTTTAATCTAAGGATTTTGACTTCAACCTCTGAAATGTCCAATTTTTCATCAGAATACGACATTGATCTCAGAATTCTGTCTTCCCTCAAAATTCAGATTTTAATGTCAGAATTTAGATTTTTTTAGTCAGAATTCTGACTTTAATCTCAGAATTCTGATTATTTTTTCAGATTTGGGACTTGTTTTTCCAAATTCTGACTTTAATCTGAAAATATCTGATCTGAATATCCGAATCCTGCCTTTTTCCCCCTTCAGAATTCCGACTTTAATCTCAGAATTCTGTCTTTTCTCAAAATTCTGACTTTAATCTGAGAATTCTGACCTCAGTCCTGGAAATCCAACAATTTCCCCAGAATTCTGATGTTGTTTTCCGACTTTTCTCCCTCAGAAATCTGACTTAAATCTCTTATTTCTGAGATTAGAGTCAGAAATCTTTTTCTCTTCAGTGGTTGTAATCCTCTTTTGTACCATCCTTGATTAAAGCTGCAAAAATAATCACAAAAGTCATGCTATGACTTCGGCTCCGAGCACAAACAGAACCCGGTGTAACCAATAAATCTGAGCAACGGGACTATTTTCTACTCTTCCTGAAGGTCAAAATTAATCTCAAATCAACCAGATTAAAGTGATTAATCAGCAGAAGTTGGACATTTGTTTCTAATCCAAGTCCTCTGGTGGTGGAAGGAGAAACTGACATGACTCAGGAGGAAACAAAAAACACTCGATACGCCCCACCTAATGAAGATTTAATCTGGACCTGGGCCTGCAGCCATGGGATGCAGACGTGGTTCTCCTCTCTTCATTTGGAATTCCTTCCACTCAGTGTAATGAAGCTGGAGTGTGTTAACTAATGCCTGACTGTGTGTGTGTGTGTGTGTGTGTGTGTGTGTGTGTGTGTGTGTGTGTGTGTGTGTGTGTGTGTGTGTGTGTGTGTGTGTGTGTGAAAGAGAGAGAGTCAGGAAGAGATGGAGATGGCAGGGTGAGATGATAGACGAGAGGATTATCAGTGGGAAGAAGTGAAAGGAAAAAAACCCAGTAAGCAAGCAGAGATGGGCTTATATTTAAATAACCGGCTGATTATTTTGGAAGGTGTGGTAGCGGGTGTCTGTGGCAACCGGGGTCGACTCATCAAAGACGAAAACCAGACGTGTGCTTCGACTAACAAGTTGTTTCTCAGACGAGGAAGTCTGAAGGTTTCACAATGTTGCAGAGATCTGGAGCCTTTAACTGCAGGTTTTCGGAGGCCAATTTTCTC